CTCCAAAACGCCAAACAGAATTACCAACCAATTCCAAACCACCAAGTTGGTTTACCAAAGAACAGCTCCAAAACGCCAAAGTGAATCACCAAAGAACGCTCAAGAATCCCCAAGAAACTTACCAGACAGCTCCAAAACGCCAAACAGAATTACCAACCAATTCCAAACCACCAAGTTGGTTTACCAAAGAACAGCTCCAAAACGCCGAAGTGATTCAGCTTCAAACTGCTGAGGTGAATTATCGAAGAACAGTTCCAAAACTTCGAAGTAATTACCGAAGAATAGCTCCAAACCTTAAAGATGGCTACCGAAGAACAGCTCAAAGAAACTATTTTATTTATTAAAAGCTAAAACTAAATTAATCGTAGTTTCTTAGGAGAGAACTATCAGAGAACAGCTCCAAAACGCAAAAGAGAAATACCGAAGAAGCCTACCAGAGAATGATTCTAAAACGTTAAAGAGGACTAAAGAGAACAGAACACCAAAAAGAACCGCCAGAGAAGACCGAAGAAAACTGCTAAAAAAAAAATTTCAAAGAAAGCTCTTCGACGTTTTGGAGCTGCTCTCTGGTAGAACTACCAAAGAACAGCTCCAAAACGTCAAAGAGAAACAGCTCCAAATCGTCGAAGATAACTACAAAAAATATAAAGTTAGCAAAAAAAAAAAATCCGAAGTACCAACTAAAAGCACAAGCGAAGAAAAAAAAATATTGCTGTATAAAAATAGAAAACAATGAAATTTCTATATACAGCATATGATGTGATCGCCAATCGTCACTTCGTCACTTCGTCGCTCATACGACTCATGCGACTTATGTGATTTATCCGATGCACAAATTCGATGGTCGGATCAATATATGAATGTTTGTCATATGATCTTCTTGCTTTTTGATTGGTTAGAAAGGCCAGAGATATATAAGTTATATATCTCTGGCCAGAGATATATAGAAAAATCCTTAATTATATATTAATTATAGGGCAATTATATTTTGATTATATTTTGATTATATTTTGATTATATTTTAATTATATATAAATATATAATAATTATATTGTTATTATATTATAAATATAATATTTGAATTATATAAGGAAGAACTCTTCCTGCAGATTACTTTACCAAATTAGAAACAAGAAAAAAAAATATTTCTGTAACTTCTTCTCAAAAACTTACTAATTAATTTGATAATCAGCTCTTAAGTAAAGTTATCCAGCACCTCAAACACTACTTAAAGAAGCTGCAAGTTTTATTAAAAAACCTTACTCCAACAAGTTATTAGCAAAAAACTTTCAAAATAGCAAAAAAGTAGTTTTTCAGCCCTCTCACAAAAGTGATCCTAAAGACCCCAATTTCTAAATAATCTAAATCAAGCTACTGATAGTATACCTAGAAAAAATAGTGAGAAATAACTAGTTTTACATCTTGCTAAACCTCCAGACCTTGTCAAAAACATGGCCTCTGAGAGCTCTTTCTATATCTTTAATTATTTTTTCTAGCCTGCAAAACCTGTGCAATACATACCACTGGCTCACCTCCAAGCCCTAGCATAGAACACACAAAAAATTTTTTAAAAATAACTATTAAAGACTAGTCAAAACCCACATTTACTATCAGCTTCTCTATCCCAGAATATGCAAACATGTTCGTCTTCTTTGTTGATATTACCAAATTAGGAAAGATCTCCAACCTGAGCAATTACCCAACCCAGTAGATATGTAGTTATGAAGACTTTATCCAATTAGTTCTATTTGACCTTACAACACAAAAAAACAATGTTGTAAACATTAATGCCAAACACCTCAAATCAACATGTAGTTGTGATCTTGCAACATTAATTAATTCATATGAAAGCAACTTGAGACCTTATACAAAAGCTAAAAACAACACAGATCTATCTATGATACTATACAAATGTATTACAGAGTTAGACTCAGACAATGAGTCCAACAAAAGCAATAATAAACAAGCTTATATAGCAATTTTCACAAAGCTTAACTCCTTACAAAATCTAATTACCAAACAAACAAACACTAGCACAAGTAGCGACAACATCAATACTGTACTACCTATCAACAAATCTGCTAACCCCAACCTTCTTAACAACCTCAACAATAACAACACAACAACTGTTACACCGAGACTGAGTATACCTACCAAACAAATTACCCAACTATTACTTACCACATCCATGCCTAGCCTTACCTCCATAATCTCTGCACCTAACTCCAACTCAGTTTGCAAAAGGCCCAGAAATATGTCAAACGAATTCCTACCTACTACAACCTTCAATAAAGCAACTAAAACTACTATGAGCAGTAGTTCTACCTCTACTAGATTGCAAGCAAGCAAAAACATAACCACAAGGCTATTCTATAGTCAAGTTACTAAAACCAATCTTAAACTTATCACTACCAATGCCCCAGAAAATGACATGGAGTAGGCTGCAGAGGTTTATTCAAAACTATCACACCTATCAACACACTCTTTAACACAGACCTTTGGTTATTCTATGTGATTGCAAAACTCTTGAGTTCTTAGTGAGTATTTACAACTTTATTAGCTACAAGCTCACCACTAATCCTATATAATACAAACTGCTAGAGGCAATTGCCCTTAAGTTTATATACCAAGACACCAGATTTTTTACTACCTTTACACATAACTCTAAGACCACCTCAGCACACCAAAAGAAATACACTAATCTTTTTGATACAGCATTAGCAATATACAAAACAGAGAATGAGATCACACTTACCAACATCACTACTTGCAATACCATTCATTTATGCTCAGAAAAATGCATATTTTCTAGTATCTATCCAATATCAACTTCTTGAAAACTACCTACAGAAATATCTATAAAGCTATTATATATTCTAAAGGATTTTTGTAGATCAAGAACTCTAGTGAAAAAACTCTCAAGGAAATCTAAGCACAAATTAACAAAGTGTTCAAAAACAAGCTTATCCTCTTACTTAATATACCTAAATAGATCCCCAAGGAAATCCTAGATATTTTGCCATTTAAACTTCCTATAACACAATATTCACAGCCAGAGCAATAGTAAATACCTAAGAATAATCTTCAAATTTTCAGAACTCCCTAAAACATACTTTGCTAAACTCCCTCCACTTCTTTCTCACTATAATAGACTTCCAGCAAGTCTATACCAGTTATTTCTAATCTCTCACCAATTCTTACTCCAGTATCTCACTGTATACAAAAGAAAATTAGCAGACTTCTATACTGTTATACAAATTCCTGACTCATACTTTGACCTCCCACTACCTAAAAATACTTACTACCTATCAAGAGCTTAATTACAAAGTTCAAAAATTCTTTCTCTTCAACCAAGCCACTTCTAATATTCTACTCGCCAAAATTAGCTCCTAGCTTAAAGAATACTACACCTTCAAATTACTTCGCAATGACTTCTTCACCACCAAACCACCTCTCCCAACAGACACAAACAAAATCAAAACCACTACTTCCTTTATCTACCCTATTACTGATAATGATAAAGCTAGAAAGTCTGTTAAACAAGCTTCTCTCCACTACTAGTTACTCTTCCCAATCCCAACTAAAATTATGCAAGGCAACCCAACTAACAAACCCCTTCTGCTAACAGCAGAGAAAATTACTGAATATCTTAATATCTCACTTTCTATTACATCAACACAGCAACTTACAACCATAGCTAAACTTCTTCACAAATACTACTACTTTATACAGCTTCCTTCGGAATCGATTCAAATCTAGAGTACAGTCATCCTCCTCTATAGTCACCTCCTATATAATCACACCCTCTTTATAAGCACTATTTTTTGAAAAATTATTGCCAATATATTTATTAAAAAAACTCTATATAATCTCATTACTATTAAAATTTTATAATCACATTTTTTTTATGCAAAACAAACAGAGTGATTATAGAGGAGGACGACTGTAGCAGCCCTACCCCAACCAATAATATTAGCACAACTATAAACAACCTCTCTCTACTATCCTCGATGATATTGATAAAATCATTAGTACTCTCTCCAAATATGAAATCATCATCTTACTTCTAATCCAAAACCAACCAGATATTACTCCCACTATGAAAATTTTAAGGCAGTTTTATACAGTTAAAAAGATCACTGTTATACTACTAGATCTCTCTCCACTTCTTACTCCTAACTAAAGCATATTTAATAAAGCTTCAACATCCCCACGTCTAACTATTCCCAATACAATTCTTCACCAGCATTACCTCCATTATAGATTAGACTACACCTGCTACAATATCCAATAAAATGTCAGCCACTACTGTAGCAACAATAACTACAGAAAACACTTTATCTACTAATAACAATATCCTCATATTAGACAACCCAACAGCAATAGATACAAATAGACACTCCTATAAGTAGCTTACATAATACACTAGCCCTTAACACTACCCAAACCAACATACACCACATAACTAACTACACTAACCCTCAACCTAATACCCAGCAACCTATGCCACATTTTTCTACTAACTCTTTCTATTTGCTCACACAATATTCAAGGCTTTAACACAAATACTAAAAAAGAGGCTTGAAAAAATTACTGCCTCTAGCAAAACTTGGATATTATTAGCATTACAGAAACCAAACTATCTAGTAAAACAACTCTACAAAAGCATCTTAAAACCCAACACTACACCTATCTCTGGTTTTGTACAGATAGCTTTAAAGCAGAAATGGCTATTATGATCTGTAACTCCTTTACACTGCATATTCATAGTATCAGTATAGTGTCTGAATATGCTATAGCTGTGGATCTTTTCTTTAAACTCAACTTCAAGTTTCGAATTATTTGACTTTACCTCCCTAGCAATAATGCATATTTTCAACTACAAATTCAAAATACTATAATATAGTGGATACAACAAGCCAAAGTACAAAATATCTCTCTAATAACTTTAGGCGATTTCAATGCTTTTACAGAAAATATTCACTCCAAATCGATTAAATACAAATTACTTCAATACCTAACATTTAACAACATATATGACCTTGCCTCATACTCTTACAAGTTTACACACACATAGCACAGAGCTAACTGTAGTTGTGAAATTGACTTCATTTGGGTTTACCAACTAATTCACCAATATCTTACCCACTATGATACTGATAACCCCAATACTAGTATCCAAAGTAATCACAAAATTCTCATATCCTGCTGGCTCTTTCTATATGCTCTCACTAGCAAAAGAAGATATAAAACTCGTACATGAAGAAGGGTCTTTGACTACAAAGTAATGAACCCAGAAAAATGGAAAGACTTTGCAAACCAAGTTAATACAAACTTACAACAACACAATAGACCTCCCACATCTATAACTCCAGAGTCTCTTGAAACCACATGGCACAAAATCCAAACTAGCATTATTTTAGCAGCACTCCAGCATATTCTTAATAAGAAGTTCACAGTTTGTAACTTCTATCACACCTTCTCACCCAATGCAACTTAGCTCAACTACAGCCTTAAAAAGCTAGAAAATATAATTATAATCATAAAACACTAAGCCAAAAATAATCAACACATCCCAACACATCTAAATGCCACAGTAGCTAAACTCAACAGGCTATACAATCTGGAAATACCACCTTCTACAACCAA